CACTTTTTTTTTTTTTTTTTTTTTTTTTTTAACCAAATCGCCCACCCATAGTCCGCGCCATGTGTGCATGCGGATGGGCGGGTCACGTTCAACTGATTCGCACCATGTGGCGTATAGCGCATTTGAACCTGTTTGAACGCGCGCCCCGACTGTTTGAACGTGTGCGTTTGAACGCGAACGCGCGTTCGGTGCGTTCAAACGGTTACACAGTTCTTCTTCTTTTTCTTCTTTTTCTTCTTCTTCCTTCTCCTTCTCCTTCTCCTTCTTCTCCTTCTTCTCCTTCTTCTTCTTTTTCTTCTCGCCCACCTTCTCACCCCGACCCTCCATCCTCCACCACCCATCTTCTTCTTCTTCTTCTTTTTCTTCTCGCCCACCTTCTCACCCCCACCCTCCATCCTCCACCACCCATCTTCTTCTTCTTCTTCTTTTTCTTGCCGTTGTTTCTCACCCCCTGGCCGCCATCCGCCACCACCAGTCATCATCATCATCTTTTTCTTCTTCTTCTTAGTCTCACCTTCTTCTTCTTCTTCTTCTTCTTCCCCTCCTCCTCCTCCTCCTTCTTCTTCTTCCACACGTCCCCCATAGACATCCACCATATCCCACCTCAATTTTTTTTATTATTATTATTGGCGAGTGTTTGAAAGGGGGGCCAGGGGGCTGCGTTGGGTGTTTGTTGGCGAGTGCTCCCACACATTGCTGTTCAGCGGCACCATGGCGGGCGGTGACAGTGGCGTTGAAGCAAGCGGTGGCAGTGGTGGATTTGGAAGGAGGAGACCTCCTTTAGGATCGATGGACAAAGGAAAGGCCAGTGCCAGAACTAGTGCTACCACATCTGGGGTGACTGCAAAGGATCTCACACCGGCGTCAGACCCCTCTCTGTTCGTTCCTCAGGATGACACGAGGCGACAGCAACTGCAGAGCGCCCGGGAGGTGTGGAAATATGTCATACAGGGTCAAGAAGCCATGCTGAAGGGTTGAGGAGAGTATTGGCTGACGTGTCGGCTATGCACGCAAATTTGGAGGGGAGCACAAGGGCAATGGAACATTTTATGAAGTTGTTGAAGTCGTGTCCCCTGAGGACGGGTGAGACAACACACAAACTCGTGCTCGCCGGCGAGAAGGTGTTGGCGACCGACCATAAGGCGAAGTACCTTAGGAAAAACTACAGGCAGTTGCACGATATTCCGGAAGGGGGGGGGCGCTGCTACGCACACTCAGGACGTGGAGCATGTCGTTTGCAGGTACGAGGAGCCGCAACCACCGCCTGCCGCAGGGATGACACCACCAAAAACAACTCCGCGAACAGAGTCGGTCGACGCTGTAGACGAGGGGTTTGTGGAAGGTTTGGGGTTAAACACGAGAGCGACATCATTGCAGCAGACAACAATCAAAAGATGGGTGAACAACGCTGCACAGAAGAAGCTGGACATTGCAAGGGCGGACACAATGTTCCGTGCTGGCATTGCATTCAACTTCCTGAATTTCGACACGACACAGAAGCTCTATATTCAAAAGCAAGTGCATCCTTTGACAGCCTGTTGGGACGATTCTAGATGTACATTCATCACAGACGGGTCATCCGACCGTTGAGAGCACCCTGTCATGAACTTCTTGGCAGCAGGGGAGAAAGGTGCAGTTCTGGTGGCCACATTGTCAATGACAAGAAGGGGAGAAAACAACACAGGCGTTGGCAAGGTTGTTGGAGAAGATTATGAGGGAGATAGGGGTGCATCGCATCAACGCGATATGCACCAACTGTGCCGAGGTGAACAAGAAGGTTGCTAAGATTCTGGAGCGCCGCACTGACAAAGATATTGCATACGCTGCGCATTGTTGCAGCCTTCTGCTGCGAGATGTCGGCAAGCTAGACTGGGTGAAGGGCACCATGAAGAGAGGCCACACGATTGTGAAGTTCATCCGGAACCACCACTGCACAAAGAGCCTGATGATGTCCTTAGACGATTCCCTGTCATTCGGCCCACGAAAGTTTGGTTTGGATCAGTGTACATGATGTTGAAGAGGTTTCGGAACAGGAGGGCAGTGTTGTCGGATATGGTGGATCGGAAAAATGCACCACGGTGGACGGGGATGCGTTGGTCCACTGCAAAGTTGAAGTTGAAAGCGGACCTGCTGCACTTCACCTTGAGGAGAAACGGATGGTTCACTACAAAGTTGACGTTATGAAACCGTTGTACAACCGTCTGAGGAGGATGGATCGGGATGGAACATCGCCAACAAACCTCGTTGAGTATGACGACCTGATTGAAAGGAAACTTGCTCACGTCTTTCTCACTGAGGAGCAGCGGGCGAGCGTCATGGAGAAAGTCAGAGATCGTGGGAAGATGATGCGGCAGCCAGTCCATGCACTGACGTTTCTTCTAGACCCGCAAAGGAGAAATCTGTGGTGGCTTTATGATCGGGACAACGAAATTGTGTAGAACGCGATGCGTTACCTGCAGAGAGAGGTCGGGGGTGATTGAAAAAGGGTCAGACCACCTAGATGTTTTGAGTGACCTGCACGAGTTCCACAAGGAGCCCATGGCGGACGGGCCCAAGAGAAAGGACACGAAGATGTGGGATCCCGATGCGAAGGCTGATTGTGAGAAGCTCACACCAACCGAGTAGTGGGCGACTTACGACGGCGATGCCCCCGTCTTGCAGACCATTGCCATCAAAGTGATGGGCATGTGGAGTACGGCCACCTCAGCTGAGAGGAATTGGTCATCCATGGACTTCGTGCATTCAAAAATTAGGAACAACTTGAAGCCCGAAACATTGGACAAGTTGGTGTACATCCACTGAAACATGCAACTGCTATGTGCTGCAAACAGCTGTGGTGGCAACGACGCGGACTATGTTGATTTGTGGAGTTCGTTCTTCGAGGCTATTCCTGAGCCAGACGAGGATGATGAAACTATCTTGAGGGCCCCCGAGGAGGAAGCTGAGAAGACGGATGAGGAACTCGTGCGGTAAAGTAGCTTCGTGAAGACATCAAGGGAAGGATTCCAAAGAAGCTTGAGGACGAAGAGGACGAGTGCACAGATGACAGTGACTTGGATGATGAGCTGTGGAAGGGAAAGTGTTGATTGTCGACTGAGTCCAGCGGCGTGGAGGAGGAGGATGATGAAAGCGATTCCGATTTTGAGTTGAGAGCCGAGCCCTTGGTCCCGGGCACAGAGTATGTTGGTAGGAGAGCAGTTGCACGACATCGAAGAGAGGAGCAGCCTGCGGCTTCTACACAGGCCAGGGGGGGAAACTCCTCTCAATACCATCCTTAGTTTGACGTTGAGTTCCATCACGTGGACACAGACATCGAGTTGCTGCTGCACAGTGCCCCGGTCGATGAAGACGAGGCGGAGGCCGACCGTGCAAAAGCATTAGCAGATCGTGATCAAGACTTGCCAAAAAACGGATCGTGAAGGAGGATGCCCCGCGTGCAGTTATCCCAACTCGGAGGGAGATTGAGAGACGCAACAAGAAGGTTGGGGAATGCTGAAGAGGCAGTCATCTTTCTCATTATATTTTGACATTTTTAGTTGGATCCCAGGTCCCTTTGGGTCTCGTAAAAAGCGAAACTGGGTAAGGCTCCCAGGCATTGTCACATCCGGGTAGATTGTGAGGTCCCCGGCCTCGATGCTATCTTTGGAAATATCAGCCTTGGGCACTGGGCCCTTTTTTTTTTTTAATAAAAAAAAAGGTTGGGGAAAACAAACTGGAAATGCATCGGCCATTGGACGTTGTGCAAGAGCGAGAAGAGGGTCGACAACAGCAAAGTGAAGTGGTTGTGAAGGTGGTGGAAGTCGCACTCCAAGAAAAGGGGAACGACAAGGTGCAGCCAAAAAAGGCAGAGGAGGCCAACCAGCAAGAGGCGGAGCACCATAAAGAGGCGGAGGAGAACGACCAGCAAGAAGAAAACGACGACATGGAGCAGCAAAAAAAGGCGGAGATGGAGCACGAAGAAGAGAACGAGGAGATGGAGCATGACGAGGACGAGGAGGGGATGGAGAATAAAGGAGAGGAGGAGACAATGGAACAGCAAGAAGAGGCGGAGGGCATGGATCAGCAGGACATGCAGCATAACGCAGAAGAGGGGGACGACGAAGAGGAGCACCAGCCTGCAGTGAAGACTGTGGACACGCGTAGGCAACGACCGGTTGTGTCCGCACAGTCTGTCGAGAACATACCCGACGTCCCTCCCAGCAATGAGGCTGTCCAACATGACAACCTGTGGGTGAGCAAGGTGGGGAGGAAGAGAAAGGAGCCGATGGAGGATGCTGCTGTGACGCCTAAACGTGCTCGTGGCAGGCCCCGCAAACAGAAGACAGCTGAACCCGGTCCCAAAAAAAAGAAAGAAAAGGATTCGCCGGCGCTGGCGAGTGCCACGGGCAGGTGCGCTGCAATCTCCCCCGGCTGCCAACGCCTGCAGAGAGAACAGGACCGACAACATATCCACAAACCCACCGTCCGTTTTCAATCTCACCTGGGCAGGTGACCGGCAACGGCACGGAAAAAAATGGCCGTTGCTGCATCCAGAGCCTCCTAGTGTTTGGGACTCCCCACTCCGTCGCTCGCTGGCGTGTATGGCATGCGCCGCACCCCCCCCCACGGACAATCCATACGGGAGGCCATGTCCGCTGGTCCATGCAGGCCGTCYGCACTTCCCTTTTCGGGACRGGCCCCTACTTTGTTTCCTATTGCGGCAAGCCAGCCCGCTTCCAAAACACGGCCAGCACTTGGCGGTATGGTCGCTTCCAGAACTGCCAAAAACTTTCCATGGACGGTAGYCAGCTTTTCGCAGCCACTTTTCCTTTTCCAGCCGCCGGTCAGTGGGGTCCGAGCCTAATGTGCAAGAAGGCTGTTGCCTGTCCACGTTTGAAAAATGATTGAGGTGAGAGGTTGCTGAGAGTTTTCTGCCTGTCTCCGCCAAATACCAGCTGCTATTGGTTCCATGATGCCTTTTCTTTTTTCGTTTTTTTTAGAAAACCGACCCAGGTTGCTAGTGATAATGATAAGAGCATCCATCACTAGCATCTCGGCTACGGGCTCCATGCTATTGGTGGGGAGCTGCACCTGCTGGAAACCGGATCCAACGTCCCTGATACAAATGAGTTATAATCATGTATCATCCATAGGGCGATGGTTGGATCGGTCAGCGAGAAATCCTTTTGAAGGACCGCCGCAACTGCAGTTGGGTCCACTCTCAGGAGAAATCGTCGCCCGTATAGGTAATGACGGAAGGCCTTTAGGCAATGCAGGACCCCTAACATCTCCTTTTTGAATTGGCTATAATTTCTCTCGGCGGGGTTCAATGTCCGGCTCTCGAATCGCAACGGCCTCTCTTTCCCTTCTTCGTCCTTTTGAGACAGGAGGCCCCCCACCGAGTGAGGTCCCGCGTCCGTGGATACTATAAATGGGCGACTCTCCTCGTCTTCGAAGAACGGAACTCCTAGGATCTCTCCACCTTCGCGGAACTCCCCCTTCAAAGCTTCCATGGCCGCGTCCTGTGCTTCCCCCCAAACCCATCCTTCCGATTTCCTAAGGAGTCTTCTAAGGGGTTTCGCTTTCTCTCCATAGGCTTTTATGAAGATTCTCCAGTAGCCCACAACCCCCAGAAACTGCCGAACTTCCGTTATGGATTTGAGTGGTGACGGCCAGGTCATCAATTTCACTAATTTTTTGGGGTCGGGCCTTCGCTTCTCCTTATCGCAAATGAACCCCAGTATTTTGATGGAGGACACCGCCCAACGACTCTTAGTTCCGCTTACCGTGAGGTTGGCATCATCTAACTTCTCAAGGACGTTTCTGACATCACACATGTGGTCGGCCACAAATTTTCTCACCCCCGGGAAGACCTCCGTCTCATCCCGTTCGACCGGCCCTTTGATCGGGAAGTCATCCAGGAAGACCTCCACCTTTTCCGGTATGAACTCCTTGAGGACCGCGATCATGGCCCTTTGGAACACTAATACCCCATTCGTCCAACCCATTGGTACCACCATCATTTGGACCAATCCTAGCGGCGTGTGCATGGCGGTCATATGCCTATCGCGATAGTCTAGGGGGATCTCCTCATACCCAGAAAAGAGATCGCAAATCGAGTATATCGACCGACCTGCCGACCCTTCCGCTAGCAAGTCGGTCTCGGGTATAGATCCCACATCCCGTATGGTGATCGCATTGGTCCTCTGTAGGTTTTGAATCCATCGCAGTTTATTACTACCCCCCTTTCTTAGAAAGAACCACTTATTGGAGTAGGCACTTTCGCAAGGTTCCGCGACGAATGTCCTTATCTTTTCCTTGATGAAGGTCACTACCTCCTCTTTCTCCTTTTGAGTGTACTTCCACTGAGGCCTATTCTTCCAAGGCACGTGCGGGACCGTGTGGATCCGGGTCGGCTTAGCATACCTTGGGTCGATTCTCCCTCTCTCCGAGTCATCAAATGCAATCGCCTTATCGCAGCCCCTCAAGGTCATGGCTATGAACTCTCTTTCTCCGTGAGATTCCCATCCCCTATATCCATCTTGTCCAACCTATCGGCCGTTATCCTTTGCCCTTCAGTCTTTTTCCTTTTCCTGATGATATCGGCGATTTCCTCCTCCGATATTGTAGCCTCCCCCGTTCTATCCCGGCTGACCGTGGCGGGTTTTACTTTCTCCGCCACGGTTTTGTGCTTCTTAACTCCGCCGGCTAGGGGGATACCTCCAAAAAAGACATACTCACGCATCCACCGAACTCCTCCTCCTCGTCCTCCTTATCGTACCCCATACCGTTAATCACAATCCTATCCCCCACGTCCTCGACCTCTAATTGGTCCCCCTTGGGTCCCCTATCTGTCAAGGGCACCTCCTCCAGACGGAGTCGACACACCCTCGATTGACTCCCCTTACGCCTAGCAATGCTGGTCCAGTTACATTCATCCTGTGCGTCCACGGTCTTTAGGACCACTCGGATTCCATCAGAACTTTGGATTGACAGGGTCTGACTTCCATCCGGCAAATCAGCCGTGGTCACGTGTACTACGCTCAGCCAGGTCCTTCCGAGAATCAGTTTGGAGGAACACTCTTTTACTGAAAAGATCGGGACCGTGGCCTCTACGCCAGCGACTTCAATCACGGGGCTATGACACACCCCTTCCGTCAGTTGCAGGTTGTTATTATCCACTACCATTGACATCGATACCCCTCGATCTATCTCCAATCCCAGCTCCCGCGCGATGGAGTCCCTACACACCGTAGACTCAGACCCGTTGTTCACTAAGGCCCTCATTTTCTTCCCACTTACTACTGCCTGGAGTTGACCGCTACCTAACACATAGAATTTCTTGGCTTCTTCTCCCGAGAAAAAGTTGGCAGGTAGTTCCTCCATGGTAATGCGGGAGGCCTGTACTTCTTCCTTGGCTGGACCCTCCACCGACACCGTGGGCCTCCCTGTGAGCGGGACTCTTACCTTCCTCGTGATGCTTAGGAGTTCTTCCCTGGCGCTTTTGCTGGCGGCTAGATATTCCAAAAGTGTGCACTGCATAGGCTGCATCAGGGTCCTCCTAAGGGGTGCTACCGTGTCTATCTCATCCAGAGTGCACTTCATTTCGAACTTTTTGGGTCCCCTTCTCTTAGGCGATTTTGGCGAGGCGGGCTCTTCCTTCTTTTCCTCCACCGCTTTCGCATCGGCCATTGGCTGGTCATTGTCACCGCTCCTTACTTCCGTACCTTCCGTCACGCTCGCTTGGTTCTCGGACGTCTCGGTCCCGACCTGCGTCCTCACCCTTAGGCAGGGCCTCTCTTCCTCAGGCTGGGTATCTATCAACTTGATGCTTGACACTTGGGGTTCCCTAATGGACAACCCTCCCGGTGACTCCACCATTTGGATGTAAGTAGTGTTGGAGGAGCTTCCGACTTTCGGTTTCTTCCCCAGTCTAGCCTCCTGAAGGGCCACCCTTTTGTCCACGTTCACCTTCATTGATGGGTAAAAGGAGACCGCCTCTCCGCTATCTCCCCACACAACCCACTTGTTCTCATTTAGCTTGACCACCCCCAACCTTAAGGCCTCAGTGAGATAGGGGCAGTCCCTTTTGATGTGATTTTCTTCATTGCAGTAGACACACCCGCTTCGAGCTTGGGGATTGCTGGGGCGAGGACCCCCTTGTGTGGCCGCCGTAGGTGCAGGCGGAGCCGGCGGTGGTGGTGCTTGCGGTGGTGGCGCTCTAACTTCCGGTCGCGGCCCAGGGACCCTTGTTTGAGGGGCGTCTCCCCACCTTCCATCCCTAGCATCTTTCCAATGGGAACTCCCCTAATCGGAACCACGATTCCCCCCTATCTCCCGGTCATTTTTCCAACCTCCTTGGCCACTTGATTCGTTTCTCCATCCGGTAGGCCGTTCTCCCCACCGGGGAACAGGTGGACCCGGGGGCGATCTATCGCTCCCCCTTGGACCATCGTCCCGTGTGCCTCGCATGTTGCGGAGTGCCATGTCTAAGGTCTCTTTCATGTACTCCCTCACATCTACTCCTCCTCCAGTGAAAACCATCTCAGCGACTTTCTCGAAATTGGTGGAATCCCTCGGGGACTTTTCAAGGACCTCTTTCCTTTTCTCCTCGGGCAGGTGCAGCATGAACATCACGCACCTATCCACTTCAGACAACATTCCCCTATCCACTAAAGCTTGGGACAGACGCTTGAACCACCGTCCGTCTGAGGCGTAGATAGCCCGAATCGCGGGGTCTAACTCGGGGTCCGAGTGCTGGATAAAATAGTCGATCCACTCTCTTTCGGAGAATCTTTTATGGTAAGCATAGCTCTCTCATTTCTCCACGAACCCAGTCACATCTCGTCCGTCAAAGAAAAGCGTCTCCAGACCCAGGTTGACATCGTAATAGGGGACTCGTCGGTCTTCGTATCGACGAAAATAGGGACCTTCCATTGGCCCATCGATTGCCAGATCGTACGGCTTATACCACGACGGATCGGCTCCTGCACTCGGCCCCGAGGTCTAGGCGGTTCCCAGGGGTCTTCCTCGTAGCGGCCCCGCTCATCCGGCCAATCCGTCTCCCACCGAGCGTGGTCCTGCCCCCTAGAGCTTTTCCAGACCTCCACCTCCCGACTCCTGCTCGTTATCTCGCCAGGAGCCCATGCAGCATCCGCTTCTCTTACGACCCATCTCCGTGGCCTACTACCAGCCTCCACCGGCCTCTCGTCTCTAAGGCCCCTTCTACTCGGCCCCTCTTCCTCTTCTCTCCTGGGTGGCCGGTAACCCAACCTATCTCTTGGAAAGTCGAGAGCTTCTCCCATTCTTGCACCAGTTAAATCCGCCCACCGAGATTCTAACAAGAAGGTCCCTTGAGCCCTCGATTGCCCCTTCTCGCCCAGGCATTCGCATTTTCGTGCCAGTTCTCGGCCCCACTAAGGCCTGCCCTTCACCGGTGACGGCCTCCAGGGCCCTTTCGACCCATCTCCGTGGCCTGCCGCCGGCTTCTGTTAACCTCTCTTCTCTCAAGTCCCTCCTGTCCTTACACTCCTCTTCCTCTCTCCTAAGTGGTCGAT